TAGATATATAGATATATAAACACAAAACCACATGCTTACAGACACAGATAGTGATAATCAGAGAACACATTCACTAACCATGAGCTGGTGAGGTTGTGTGGCTACTCACTCCATCTGGCTTATCACACAATGAACCTGAAGAAGACTGGCTTTAAACTTCAGAGAGACTGATAAAGGATGCATTCTATCAATTAGAAAGCGTAAATTAACAGTGACAGATGATATTCTGTAAATAAGAGAGTATAAATCAACACTGACAGGTGATTGTTTGCAAATAAGAGTGATAGATGACATTCTGTAAATAAGAGAGCATAAATCAAATGTCACAGATTATATTCTGTTAAAAAGAGAGCATAAATCAACACTGACAGATGAAATTCTGTGAATAAGAGAGCATAAATCAACACTGACAGATGAAATTCTGTAAATAGGAGAGCATAAATCAACAGTGACAGATGATATTCTGCAAAGATAATGTATTCTATAAGACCAGAGAAATTATACCAAGACAGAAGTACAGATAACGTTTTTTTTTAAACCTCCTACTCTGTATTTGCTCTTAAAATTGCAGTTGTTATATTGGGTTGTGGTTTATAGCTAAGCTGTGATATTTGCAATTTTTTTCTTTTTCTTAGTCTTTGTTCATCTGAAGATGTAAATGTGTTGTGCCCGTTCACAAGACGGCTGTGATATTTGGGCCTTTTGGCCAATACATTCAACTTCTGCAGGCATTTACTGGCCGGGTTAACCTTCCCGGTTAGTTTTGTGGGACATTACAGTATAACTGTTGTGCAGTCAGATTTGTTTCCCAGGTCCCAGGTGCTGTCTACCCCTCCCCTCCCCCTTTTCTCCCATCAGGCAAATCCAGAGAAGCCACATATTGCTGGTCAGCCCTCAAGAGAAGGCAGAGGCAGAACATGAACATTCTCCGCCTTCTAATAATAAAGTAATAGACTATGTATTGATCGGCAATCATAGAAAGAAGAAGAAAGATAGAAGAACACACTAGACAATATAAAAATATAAAGCTATAGTTACCGTGCCGGGATCGAACCTGTCACCTCCAGCCCCACTCCGACTGTTGTCGGGGGCCCTAATATAACCTAACGGTTAAACAGGGCTTCTGGGACTTCCACGTGAGTGATCCTCATCCGAATGGTGGTACTTTGTGTGGACTTGGGTTGAACATCATTCTCTCAGAGTTAGAGGTCTATTGTAGCCAATCTTCTCTGTGGAGGTGGTAGCTACGTTCGCCCTTAAAAGAGGCAGCTGGCAGGTTGGGCAAAGTTTACAGCTAGGCTGCGATATCATCCGATTTAAGCAAACTCTTAAAGAGTCTTTTTTTAACAAATGCTTGTTAAGTGGGTGGTGAATCTATCCTTGGAACCCACAAGGGAAACCAAGATGGCATCTGACTGACTGCCAAAACTTGTACAAACCTTCTTTAGTTTAACTTTCTAAGTCAATTTTGCATCCTTAGTTTATTGAAAAAAACTTGCATAAACCGTCTTTGGTTGAACTTTCTTAGTGAACTCTGCATCCTTAGCTTACTGACAGAACTTGTGTAAACCTTGTTTAGTAGAACATTCTTAGTGAACTCTGCATCCTTAGCTTACTGACAGAACTTGTGTAAACCTTGTTTAGTAGAACTTTCTTAGTCAGCTTTGCTTCCTTAGCTTACTGACAGAACTTGTGTAAACCTTGTTTAGTAGAACTTTCTTAGTGAACTCTGCATCCTTAGCTTACTGACAGAACTTGTGTAAACCTTGTTTAGTAGAACTTTCTTAGTCAACTTTGCATCCTTAGCTTACTGACAGAACTTGTGTAAACCTTGTTTAGTAGAACTTTCTTAGTCAACTTTGCATCCTTAGCTTACTGACAGAACTTGTGTAAACCTTGTTTAGTAGAACTTTCTTAGTCAACTCTGCATCCTTAGCTTACTGACAGAACTTGTGTAAACCTTGTTTAGTAGAACTTTCTTAGTGAACTCTGCATCCTTAGCTTACTGACAGAACTTGTGTAAACCTTGTTTAGTAGAACTTTCTTAGTCAACTTTGCATCCTTAGCTTACTGACAGAACTTGTGTAAACCTTGTTTAGTAGAACTTTCTTAGTCAACTTTGCATCCTTAGCTTACTGACAGAACTTGTGTAAACCTTGTTTAGTAGAACTTTCTTAGTCAACTTTGCATCCTTAGCTTACTGACAGAACTTGTGTAAACCTTGTTTAGTAGAACTTTCTTAGTCAACTTTGCATCCTTAGCTTACTGACAGAACTTGTGTAAACCTTGTTTAGTAGAACTTTCTTAGTCAACTTTGCATCCTTAGCTTACTGACAGAACTTGTGTAAACCTTGTTTAGTAGAACTTTCTTAGTCAACTTTGCATCCTTAGCTTACTGACAGAACTTGTACAAACCATCATTGGTAGAACTTTCTTAGTGATTCTGCATCCTTAGCTTACTGCCAAAACTTGTACAAACCATCATTGGTAGAACTTTCTTAGTGATTCTGCATCCTTAGCTTACTGCCAAAACTTGTACAAACCATCATTGGTAGAACTTTCTTAGTGATTCTGCATCCTTAGCTTACTGCCAAAACTTGTACAAACCATCATTGGTAGAACTTTCTTAGTGATTCTGCATCCTTAGCTTACTGCCAAAACTTGTACAAACCTCTTTGGTTGAACTTTCTTAGTGAACTTTGCATCCTTAGCTTACTGCCAAAACTTGTACAAACCTCTTTGGTTGAACTTTCTTAGTGAACTTTGCATCCTTAGCTTACTGACAAAACTTGTACAAACCATCATTGGTAGAACTTTCTCAGTGATTCTGCATCCTTAGCTTACTGACAAAACTTGTACAAATATTCATTGGTTGAACTTTCTTGGTGACTTTCACGTCCTTAGCTTTTTGCAAAGCCTGCAACACAGCCACGGTATCCAGCTCTTTCTGATCAGGAGGTTTGTGGTCTAGAACCACCTGCAAAGTTGAAACATTTTACATCAATTACATTCTTTCAGATTTGTAAGATAATGTGTATGGGTAGAGATGACAAGGCAAGGGAGTGATGTACTTAAGGGACAAGCTTTAACAACAGCCAAAGATAGGACTAAGCACAGAGCACACTGGTTATGACAACCAAATGTCTCCCTTCCAGCAAAACAGCAAATGATTTACAGTTAAAGTGTACTACAATCTACTGTAATGAATAATTAATGCTCACATTTAATTTTTCTTCGTATTCTTCTTCTTCTTCTGCCTTTCTATCCCCCAATGGAGCATAGGCCCTCAACCAACTCACGCCAAGTCGTTCTATCCTTCGCCTTTGCTTGGAGCTCTCCCCATGTCCTCCCCATCTTTCTGACTTCATTCTCCAGCTCTCTTCTTCGTATTTCCCGGCTGTAAACTCCGGCGGAAAGTTTTGGTATTCGTCTACTTTTGGACTCTATTCCTGTTCCAGAAAATGAGTGTTGCGTACACATCCGTTTTACACATCTTACTCATGTGCTTGCAGACTGTTGGTTCCAGACAAATGTACTCCGACCTCGAAGGAAGCTCCCAATTGGTCGACTCTTGAAGAAACCAAAAGGTATAACGATGCAAAATGTAATGGGAAATGCTGCATTTTCGTTTTTGAGCTAATTTTACAAAATAAGGCTGGTGTTAAGTTAAAGCAATTCTCATGTAATTCATTGCTCAATGAGCTCAATGACTCTTTGTTTTCATGATATTCATGTGTGACAAGCTTGATTCACAACTGAAAGATGTGCCAAATATGGCGAGTATGAATACGGCAACTTTTCTAGCATTATGAAACTGCTTCTGTTGAATCCTTTCGTACCAAAACTTTGTGGTAACACTTAAAAAAAAAAATTTATAAGTGAAGGGTTGCAAACAATAGTGTAGTCTGAGAATTCTCCTTGTAACATTAAGTTCGCTGGTAAGTGTAGTTGATGTCACATGTTAAATATAAAGAACCGCTGTACTGGCTATTTTATTTGTAAAATATACATTTACATAAGCATACACACAAATTATGTGGACATTTTGTTTACATAACGGCAAATCTTTTGGCTTTATTTTTATAAAAATAAAAATAAAAATAAACTGACACTAGTAAATATATATATATGTTTGCAACCCTTCACTTATATATATATATATATATATCACAATTCTGAACGGTCTCCTTTGCTAGGGAGTTAAATCAATCACTTCGTAATCATGATGCTGTTGGATATACAACTCGATCCATCACTTTGCACGACCAGATGTTTTTAAGACCAGTTTAGGAGTCGTATTCGACAATGGTATCGTGAGCTGACCGTTTAGTCAGCCTCGCAAACTACTAAACGTAACATTAGCAATGTTAAAGTCAGCCATGTTCAGTCAGCAATGGCAAACTAGTCAACCTAAAATTGTCTAGTGAAACCTTAAATAGCCAAGAAATTCAATTTGTTTGCAACGTCATATAAAGGATACAGAACCGATTTTTAACAAACAAGTCACATAGAAACATTTTGTGTGTGGCCGAGCCAGTTGCTTATTATTCTATATATCTGATGATGAAATCTGTTTGTTAAATCTTTCGGTTGTATCTGTACATATTTTGTTCCCCATGTTTTCCTCAGCATAGAGCTACTCAGATTTCAGCACCAAGATGTCTCGGCTTCTGATGATCTTGTCGGTATTGATGGCGGTCACTTGGTCAACCAGAATAATAGATCTATCCCACAAGCACGGACCTGAAACGTTGATGTTTGCGGACTTTCCAAATTTCAGGAGATCTGATATATTTAAGGGTGACATCTTTCCTGGTGTTTTGTAAGCATTGTCTCTATTAAAGAAATATAATATTCTTCTGCGAGTTTACCCCTAGTGGATTATAAGTGCTCAATCAATCAGTACTAGGGCCCGCTAGTTATATCGTTATCATGTTTATTCGATGTTGGACAGATCCAGTGTCAGCTTATTTTCCTCGACTCTCCTCTCCTCTTGATTCACAGGCATGTGTTTGATGCTCGTCTACCAAAAATCCATGTTTATAACGCGGTTGTACCATTGAATGAAACATGTAAAATAAAAAATTATAGCCACGAATGATGCGATATTGTTCTGGATTCGTAAAGAGGCAATTGTCCATCATCTGAGAAGTCGCCTCAATGTCATCTATGGTGACACTTAATTTTTTTTTATTTTTTAAAGCAGTAAAAGATTAAGAAACACTGAGTTCCATATTCGTCTTCTTCTTCTTTGCGTTCACCAGCTGTAAACTCTGGCGGAAAGGTCTATCTTTTCATCTACTTCTGGACTGAAGTCCTGTTCCAGAACCTGAGTGTTGCGTCTGCATTCGTTTCACAGATCTGACTCATTTGTATGCAGGCTGCTGGTTCCTTGCCTCTCAGGCACTCCGACTTAGAACAAAGCTCCCAATTAGTCGACTCTTACGACCTGCTTCTGGGTAGGCAGTGGGTCTATTCTTGTTTTCCCTGTAATAGGGCCCCGCAACCCACACAGGGAAGTTCCATATTAAAAAGAGGGATATTTAGAAACTCCTAACAGATTTCCCATGTGAATATGAATATGATATAATGTTACGAGCTCACAAATTATAGTGATGAATTAGTTCAGAGAAAATTTTAACAAACCTAAGGAAAAAGATATACTACGAAGAAGTTGTTACAATGATAGGTCACGTCTATGACACATAAATCCTAATTCTTCCTATTTGTTGCAGCTTTACTTACGGAAAATATTCTAGTGGAGAACATGGAGGAACACACATGGATGCTCCAGTTCAGATTGTGAAAGGTAAAGCAACAAATCCTCTGTAACTATGAATGTTTGGAGTCACCTTGATCATCAGGATTTTTTAAAATGGCTTGTTTTATCTACGCCAAAAATAACAAAACATGGTACAAATTATTTAGCTTTACAAATTGTTCAAACGCAATTTTGAGAGCATGCATCTTCCCTGTGGCTACATACGGATGTGAGTCATGGACTATCTCCCAGTCCTTAAGAAAGATTATAAGCGCTTTTGAGCTGAAATGCTATAGAAATATCTTGGACAAAGAAGAGGAGAAATATTGACATTCTAAAAGATCTGAAGAACAAGGAAGATTGGCTAATAAACAGCATCCTTTCTAGGAAGCACAAATATTTTAGTTATATCAAGCGCTACGACGGATTGGAAAAAATTATAGTAGAAGGCATGGTACCAGAAAGGAGAACAAAGAAGAGGAGAAATATTGACATTCTAAAAGATCTGAACAACAAGGAAGATTGGCTAATAAACAGCATCCTTTCTAGGAAGCACAAATATTTTGGTTATATCAAGCGCCACGACGGATTGGAAAAAATTATATTAGAAGGCATAGTACCGGAAAGGAGGGGCAGTTGCCGACCGACACGAAGATGGGCACAGATTATAAGTGACTCATTGAGTGTGAAAGTACATGAGGTTGAAGACCTGGCGAGAGACCGAGTTTCTTTCAGGCAGACCGTGATGAGAGAGACGTTCTGCAAAGGACCTGCTACATAATGAAATCAAACGCGATTCTACACTGTATCAGACGCGATTTCACACTGCATCAGGCGCGATTTCACACTGTCTTTTAACTGCTTTTATTTTTTTTTTCGTAGGACCTCTTAGGTGTTGTATGTTGTGTATACAACAGTCTCTAGAATTTCGTAAAATCAACTTAACAAACATCATTTCTTTAAATTACTACTTATAATTTTAATGAGCAAACAAAAGGAAAAATAAGAATGGAAATGAATGAAGAATAGCGAACACTGATAGAAAGATTAATAGACATAAAAAAGGACTTATTTTTGTGCTTTATGTATTATACCAAAGCCTTTGACAAAGTTAAACATGAAGAGATGATACAAACGTCGGAAGACTTCAATGTAGACGGGAAAGATCTCAGAATAATTAAATACATTTACTGGAACCAAGTAGCAGCAATTAAAGTGGTAAACAGATTGGGTACTTTTGAACAGATAAAGCAAGGAGTGAGACAGGGATGTGTCTTATCCCCAGAACTTTTCTCTCTATATATAATGAGATAATTTTGAGGGAAATTAAAGACAATGCAGGAGTAAGAGTTGGAGGATACAATATAAACAATTTGCGTTACGCAGACGATACAGTTTTGATATCTGAAATTGCAACTGATTTACAACTTCTGGATATTGTGGGGATGGAGAGTGTGAAGAAAGGACTTTCATTGAATATTAAGAAAACGGAAGTAATGGCTATATCAAAGAAGAAGATAATTCCACGTTGTGATGTCTCAGTTGAAGGAAAAAGACTTAACGAAGTCAATCAATTCGAATATCTGGGAACAATCATATCATCAGACGGAAAATGTGTGACAGAGATTAAAGGCAAAATAGGCATTTCAGAAAATGAAAAGTATCTTGTGCAATAAATTGCTCTCATTTAATGTCAGAAAGACAGTGCTAAAATAGAGCCTGTCCTGCTGTATGGCAGGGAATCTTGGAATGTCACTGAACAAATTAAGAAGAATTTGGAAGCAACAGAGATGTGGTTTCTAAGACGAATGTTACGAATACCTTGGATAGCCATAGTAACTAACAACGATTGCTTGAAAGAGGCTAATGAAAGTAGATCTCTTTATAAAACAATTAGAAAGAGACAAACACTGTTCTTTGGCCACATAATGAGAAGAGAGACATAGGAGAACATCGTTACAACTGGAAAAATCAGTGGAAAAAGAGGTAGAGGCAGACCAAGAGATAATGCTGGATGGGCTAAAACGATGGCATGGAGGGATATCATCAAGAGAGCTGTTCCAGTCCACCAGGGATCGTGATTTGTGGAGACGCATAAGAGCCTACGCCAGTTGGCAGGGCATATGATGATGATGATGATGAGTCTCTAGTTATAATTGTGGTCTTGGTTATTTGCGCCACCTGCGTGGCTCAGATTGTAGTATGTGCGCCAGCTCTCTGGCTTTATAATCAGATTCTCACAGCTAGACCGTTCCTTCCTGTTTGTGTCCCAATGTGTTCCTCTTATCCTTATCCTCCTGAGTTTTTCCTCGTGAGTCATCCTTTGCCACTTCATTTTCGTAATTGTTTTGCCCTTGTGTCCTCCAATGTGCTCCTGAATCTGTTCCCTTCTACTTTGGGCAGGCGTATCTCGTAAAATGCCCTGGTAGTATCTTCCACAGCGAGTCACACTAAAACGTTACAATGTGAAGAGCGAGTGAAAGACCTCGAAAAAAAATATGAAGTTATGGCATTAAGAACAGCCATACAGAAATGAAAATGCTCTTGACTGACCTCATCAACAAATGTTACATCTCCCCCCGACACTTCGATGAGGTACAAGGTAGAAGAGAAGAAGAAGAAGAAGAAGAAGAAAAAGAAGAAGAAGAAGAAGAAGAAGAAGAAGAAGAAGAAGAAGAAGAAGAAGAAGAAGAAGAAGAAGAAGAAGAAGAAGAAGAAGAAAAAGAAGAAGAAGAAGAAGAAGAAGAAGAAGAAGAAGAAGAAGAAGAAGAAGAAGAAGAAGAAGAAGAAGAAGAAGAAGAAGAAGAAGTTTTGAAATTTGTAATATTTTACTTTGCCAAGTACTAAAAACAGTTTTGAGATTTGTATAGATCCGAAATGGTTTTTAAAAAAAATGCGCATTATCATAAATGTCTTCCTGTAATGAGAGCAGGTTGTGCACATAATAGTGAAGTGAATGAAATGGTTGGTGAGGCTTACCAATGCTTCTAGGCACATTTGTCATAATGCGGTCCTCTTGCGGAGGTTTGGAATATTGAATGAGGTTTCATTGTCTGGTTAGCAGGCTATTTCTACACACATATCTTCAAAGTTAGTAATATTAATTTTATCCTGTGCAATTCCCCTAATTTTCGTCTTGACTAGAATGGAAACACCACTTCCTCTTCCTACCTCCCTGTCATTTCTGAATACTCTTTTTATCCTCAGTGTTTAAAGATATCCTTTGGTTTAAAACATGTCTCTTGTAGGGCTATGATATTATTCTCACCCCGCAGATCTTTCATCATTGCTTTGAGGATATTTTTGGTCTCTCTGCAGTTATCATGGCAAGGATGGTTCGCTTATGTCCTTGAAGCATCTAGCCACCGTTCTCTTTCCGAAGAATGTCTTCACAATTCCAGTAGCAGTATTATTGTGTAGACCCGTTAACTTCATCTGTCTCTCTCCTATCTGCGTTATGACAGCGGTCAGGTCCTGATTTTCAGCAGTAGTCCTTTGCTCCTCTACAAACGTCTCCAATTGCTTAATAGGTGCCCATCTAATCTTCTTCTTCCTTTCTAACATCACAGCCTCCTTTACCACCTCTAAATACACCTTTTCTACAGCTACATGTTTTCTAGCGAGCATAGGCAAGCTACTGTTAGATTATTATAAATGTTGACATGTATTGATGCAGCGTAAAGTTTTGATTTACCACCAGCTTTTCTTCGGCAACACAACAAACTACACACAAAAATGCCTAAAATTAAGCTACAGAAGACCTAGTTTAAGCGAGCTAAAAAGAACAAATGCGAACTACAGCAGAATTACTAAGAAACAGATTTCCGATCCGCGGCGAGCATCTAGCCGCTCGGCCACGCCCTGAATATAGCCGGACCACGGGTGATCCTCATCCGCATGGTGGCATTTTATGTCACCGGGTGTTTATCGCTGGTGTGATGTCACATGCTAGATTCTCCTGCACCAAACGTCGACCATTAACTTTTACTAAGAAACCTCAGGCACTTTTTTTGCCGCTTGACACTGAACCGTCTGTGTAAATAATCAAATCCTCTGAGCGAGCATTATCTTGAATTATTAGCTGAATTTCCACCTCCCTGGCACCTGCTGGCCAATCTCTGCATTCCCGGCTCAGTGTGATTATGAGGGTTGTGTGTCGTCTGTTAGCCTTGGAAATACTTTACGCAGGTGTGTATAGCAGTGTAATGTAACATAAGTTGTTAAAAAAAACATAACAATGGATAGGCTTGCAGTAAGAACAATTTATATACTATTGTATTCTGTTTAGGTGGTAGGTCAATCAGTGATATTCCATTGGAAGACAGGATCGCCGTGGGAGTTCAGATTGACTGTTCACAAGAAGCCGCAAGAGACCGTGGTTTTCTTGTTCCTGTTCAAAAGGTAAACACACATACGCGCGGGCGCACTCTCTCATACACGCACGCACACATTTACTCATACACACATATATATATATATATTTCTGTATATATAATATCTCACGTCGTTTGGCAGACTGTTTGTTATACATACTGAAATGCTAAAAATCAGAAATCCAACCAAAATTGGCCCGTAAACACCATCATGTCTCGGAAACTGAAATGCTTTGGCCATATCAAACGCCACGGTAGAAAGAACACTAACAGAGGTCATGGTACCGTTGGTCAGCAGGGGTTGGTTAGGGGACGTGAGGGAGCGGATGGGGGGGGGGGGGGCAGCCAGCACGAAGATTGGCATAGAACAATAAGAAGAACTCCACATAGAAACATGCGCAGCAGGGGCCCACCGGTCATCATTAGAGATCCTTTGTCGACAACTGTTTCGGCAGATTGCTTCCCTAAACAATCTTTACAGGTGGGCCGACCTGGGTCATGAAGCTAGACACCGATCTTCCCCTGCTGCACTTCATCGGACTCGATAGGAACAAGACTATATGGTGACTTTCAATGGTTGCTGTGAGATTTGGTGTTTTATTGTTGCTGCGGCAGCAAATTAGATCAGTTGACTACCTTCACGACCAGAGTGATTAGTCTATGGTCAGACAATTATTAGACTTTGGCCTTTGGCAGAGACACCGGCAGACATTTGGAAAATAATAGACACATTTAATAGTGCATGACACGGGAGAGCCGGCTAGGGACCGAGTTTGTTGCAGGCAGGCTGTGATGGGAGCAAGGCTCTGTAAAAAATAAGCTACATGTCTCAGCAGTGTAGTTTTTTTTAATGTGGCAGTCTGCAGCTGCTGCTGCTGTTTCTTCTTCTTCTTCTTCTTCTTCTTCTTCTTCTTCTTCTTCTTCTTCTTCTTCTTCTTCTTCTTCTTCTTCTTCTTCTTCTTCTTCTTTGATCCTTGTGTCAGAAAAACTACCAGGAAGCAGGTAGCCTTTATGAAAGATGTCCAAATGCAGTCCAAATTTCCCTGCACACCACACAAGTTTGTCTTAACTAAAGTGTGAGAAGTCAAAATTTCGTCTGTGTTAGCACTGTGTTTCTGAGACGGTGACAGTGAATATTTTAACGGATTTATTCTGTCTAACGAACGCCACCTACATCGAAACTGAAACTGTGGATATAATAGGTAATGTTATGCCAGTGACAAAATTGTAGCTGTAAAACTAGATCAATTAAAACATAATTTATAAACGTAGTTTGCTAACTCCTTCTGCTTAAAGCAAAGTTACATGTTTGATTTAATATATACTAACCTCTAAAGAGCTCCAGCGGCATATTTTTTTTTTCCCTTGCAATGACTTTTACGTTGAATCATTGAGAAAATTACTATAATATGCTATAAACAGAAACGCATAGTTCTCAGATTCGGAGTCTTAGTTGTCGGGCAAATTCTTAAACCTGTAAACTTTCGATGACCCAAATGTAAAAGAGCTGTCAATTGATTGGCGAAGCCTTAAAGAATTCTTGTTTGCAGTCTGAACAGTTTCATTTATTAAAGTACGCCGATTTTGAATGTCAAAATTAGGACAAAAATTTGTTCTTTTCAGTAGCAATGCGTTGAATAGTACAATTTGTCTCGTCCTTAAACAATACAGATACTGGACTGGGAGAAGGCATACGGGCGGATTCCCAATCAAGCCGCTGTCATTATGAACTTTGGCTGGTCTTCTAAATTTAACAACAGAACACTCTACCTTGGAAATGACGACATTTAGTAAGTGTCCTGTATCATCCATTTATGTAAAACAAAGCAAAATAATCGACCACGTTCAACCTACTGCGAGCAGCAGTGTCATGTTTCTTTCTTAACACCTTTATATTTTTTCAAAGTGATCTTCACTTCTCATCGTTTTGAATTCTTGCAAGTTATTTAGATATACAGAGCCTTTGTGCTATAGTATTTAGAAGCTCGCCCGTAGATCCGAAGATGTGAGTTCGAATCAGAAGGGTGCCAGAATTTTAAAAATCATGATCTTGGCCCCCAGCTTGGCTCAGCCTTAATTGGGTGCCAGGTAAAGTCATGGGAAGTAAAGGTGGCCGGTGTGATGTTGCCCCGATCACCCACCGAGTGCTGGTTGGTCTATTAAATACAGGTCTAGCCTGAAATGCCAAATATGCCCGAATGCGAGGAAAAGGTCCTTTACTTCTCTACGTGATTCTTTTAGATTTAAGGAGGCAGTCTGGTTAGAAAGTTAAAAATACAGGTACTGTTTTGTTGTTGTTGTATTATCATCATATCGTGCATCATAAGTCAAACAATGGGTCGCTGTCAAGTCCTTTATTCCTTTAGATATCATGGATGTAATTCAGACCAGCAAAGCTAGTGTATCGGTAATGCTTGTTTTAGAACAGTCGTCTCCAACGTTGTTTGTTTACGGCTGCATGCGTCCCCTAGGGTCGTCGTTTCTGTTGACATCCACACACAGACTTTAGAGAAAATGTGGGTGGATGCATGAGAAGCGGAAATTACACTATCAACTTGGAACAAGGAATGACATTTTTTCCAGTTATTTTTATGTATTTCAGTGCGGCTTGATCGCAGACGGCATATTTTTGGGAAAAAACTTGAAGTTACTGAACGATAATTGTAAAACTTAACAATGCACTGCCTCAAGGTGGCGACCGTATGGGACGTAATCCATTGTTTGCTTATGCTTAATTAGTAATGTTCTTAAATATTTAATTTTGTTTAGGTTTAGGGTTAAAGTTAGGGATGGGTTTAACGCGAACCCTTACCCTAACCTCAAAAAGATATTAACTTTTAAAGAACATTATTATATGAAGGTAAAGGAACAATGGATTACATCCCCTGTGGTTGCCGTAAACAAGGAATGGATTGTGTCCGTTTTAAGTTTTACCCACACATTATACCCATATTATAGTATACAAGTAAAAACATAAAAAGTATGGAAGTCAAATGCATGCATTCAAAAATGGAAAAAAGGGGAAGGAGAGAGAGAGAGAGAAAAAAAAAAAAAGAGAGAGAGAGAGAGAGAGAGAGAGAGAGAGAGAGAGAGAGAGAGAGAGAGAGAGAGATCGGATATTCAGTGTAGCACTTAAAATCAACAATTGGCTGACTGATCATTTGTTTTGTTTCTATCTACAGTTCTTATGTATTTCCAGCCGTCAGTGCTGAAGCAGCGGACTGGCTTTACACCAACCGCCACATCAAGATGTTAGGGACTGATACATACACACCTGACCCGCTTAGCGTCAACGGTGTGAAGGTCACTTCCTTTCCCGATCTTGCTGTCCAACAATAGCCTCATCGTGGAGAATCTCAAAGGCCCAGAACGGTTACCACATACTGGGTTCATATTTCATGCTTCCCCGGTCAAGTATGTGGGAAACACCGCCGCACAAGTCCGCGCGTACGCCGTGATCGAAGAGGCCAGTACCACCACAAAACCGGGGTCTGGTTATTAAAGGATTTGACCTGTTATTACATCATATTCTAAGTACTATATGTTGTTGTTTTTGTTGTTAATGCCTTTCGGACCTTCCAGACGATAATATTATACTGCTGTTTCTTTAACTCATGGAAATCACAGCCCTTGGCGATAGCGAGTTTGACTAGCAAGAACTGCTTCCGTTAACTCATCCACACATAGAGCATATAATTTCGAAACCATTGTTATCATCGCATGTATTCAACCTAATTCTCATGAGATGTCTAGCTTTAAAATAGTTTCTCTTGTATCTCTATTTTCTTTCGGATTTACCCCTTTCTTGCAACACAGCCCAATGTAAGCTGTTACAATGAACTCACCTCAATAATAATGCACTGTGAACACGTATCTTTGATGACTTGAATTGCTAGTTTCTTTTCATGCTCTTTTGCCAGACTTGTTTGTCATACACTGGCATATTTATCAACGTGGCTGAAAAATATTTTGCCGTTAAGCGTTATGGGGGGAACCGTTTGCGATCAATTTTTTGATGAGCAGCAATGGTTATTGTCACTCCGTGTCGATTTAGAAGCTCTCTAATATGATCAGTCCATATCTCCTCGGGCAGCCTCTTGCTTTCACTCCAGATCAGATCTTTCCACGTGTAGCGCCTGGGTTAGTATTTTCTTTTGTGTGTGTGTGTGTGTGGGGGGGGGGGCTACAATGTTTATATGACCAAACCATTTGAACTTCTGTTTCTCAATGAATTTGATGCTTGGTGTTGTTCTTACAGTCTTTTCTCATGCATCCATTTCACACGTGTTAATTTTACTAGGTTAGCCTTTGATACTGTTCCAAGTTTGGCCCTTGTAGTAAGTGTTGGTATGAATATACTGTTTATAATCTGTTTCTTGGCTCTCATACAAATGTTTGGGTGTCTTAATAACGGTGTCAGTTAGTATATAAGTGTATGGGCTCGCTGGCATCTTGTTTCCCGATCTGACGCTTGGACTATAACGTCCACTAAAAGGTAGATAACCTAACCTTTAAAGTTCACAAGAAGGAGACAAACACATTGTGTTTGATTGTCGATACTCAACGTTAGTTATACTAGAGCATTCTAGGAGGGGAACATGCCAACGAGAAATATGTGTATGAAATGTTGTAACAGCTAGTAATACATAGCAATAATACAAGAAATAGTAACTCCTCACCGATGACAGACACCGAAAGAAGAAACATTATGTTAAGGAAATGTATAAACACTGCCTGCTAGGCGAGAGGTTTTAGGTTTGAATCGCCATGAAACGGTCTACATACACTTACGTCCTTTTCAGGACGTAATTTTTTGTTATTTGAAGCCCCACTCTGGCTATTGCCAGGGGCCGCAATATAGGCAGGTCATATAAATGGCCAATTGTCTGAACGCGGTTTCTGGGACCTCTCCACGGTGATCCTCACCCACATGGTGGTACTTTGTGTCATCGGGTGTTTATCGCTTGTGTGATGTCCTAGTGGGGTAGAAATTCATTCATGAAACGGTTCATACCATATATTTCATTATGTCCTTTTGAGACGCAATTTTTCGTTATTTGAAGCCCTACTCTGGCTCTTGCCAGGGGCCGCAAAATAGCCCGGCCAAATATATGGTTTAATGTCTGAAAGCGGTTTCTGAGACCTCTTCACGAGTGATCCTCATCCACATGGTGGCACTTTGTGTCATCGGGTATTTATCGCTTGTGTGATGTTCTGGTAAGGTTAATAAATTGTTTTTTAATTAAACGGATTAGCAGCATCAATCATCACCATGTTGAATGATATTTTTCGTTATTTGAAGCCCACACCATAGCTTCTGCCTCGGGACCCTGAATATAGCCGGGGCAAAAATATGTCCTAGCCATAGATATGGTCTAACGGCTAAAGGGGGTTTCTGGGACCTCTCCAAGGGTGATCTTTATCCGCGTGGTGGCACTTTGTGTTGCTGGGTGTTTATCGCTTTTATGATGTCCTGTTGCGATAAAAAGTTAGTCCAGCCTGATAGCATTAGAAAATTTCATGGAAAACAAAGGTGGCCAGTGAGATGATAAACGTCACAGATCGAATACTGACTAGCATATTAAAATGTACACGCGGCATTATATGCCGTATACGCCACCAGTCTGCAATTACTAAATAAACGAACCAAATAATTACCAGACATTTCCAAAACGGAACACAGGATGAAAGTTTTGAACTATGTAGTACGGTCTGTGAAAACAAGATTTTAGTAGACTGGTACAATTTCAAAGGCCACCAGGTGTCTGCCTGAATTCGTACTATCTCTACTATCGGAGCATATAATCTTGAAATGTCTCTGAGGTCTTCTTCAAAATTAACCCACATACTCGTAACTGAATCGGCGAGAACATTAAAGCAAAACATTGAACCTCCATAATCAGATGCTTTTATTAGGTACATAACTGGTAGATCAAAATTAGTGTGTACCCATAAGTCACTCGAAGATTTTGTTAAACACAGCGCATTTTCTGGTTATTCCATCAACGGCTTGGATGTTCTTTTTAATCTCTTTTGTTGGAATACGTGGAAACAGGGGCACTGACACAAAGAAAATATTTGAGTTGGGGGAAAGCAGGTGTAGCCTCTTTACACATTTTCAAGGGGACGTTAAAGAGGCAGAAACCTTGTATAAGTACCAAATTATAATAAACATAATAATAATAATAATAATAATAATAATAATAATAATAATAATAATAATGTGTTAAATTGAAGACACATTTAATAATATGCACGAACAAAATTTAATGTATGTTTGAACTAAAACTTAAAATGATAACTTTTATAAATGGTTGGAGTAGAAAAGGCGGGTGAGGGTAGGCAGCTTAGCTCCAATCTATATTAATACACATATTAATTTTCCGATGTTGTTTTAAAATATTTTTTTTTGTTCCGATGTTGTTAGCTAAAAACTCGGAAACTACTGAACCGATTGATTTCAAATTTGCACACAACGGCGCCTTTGACTCCAAGCGTGATTTTTTGTCAGAAAATCGCACAAACCACGAACGACGTAGCTCCAGCAACAGTCAAATCATTATTTGTTTCGTTGCCGGCCCGGATTTGTTTTCAGTTGATCGACTAATTTTGGCTGCCGAGCTCTTATTGAACTTTGCATTATTATATAATCTTATTTCTACTATCTGCTTGTGTTTGGTAGCGTAGTTGGTAACTATTCTGCTTATTATGCGGGTGACCCGCGTTCGATTCCCCGCTAGGTGATATATTTTTTTTGCCCCTAACTGGGCGGCTGTCACGTTGTGTTGTGGTTTATGGCTAGGCTGCGATATCTACGCCTTTTTCGATTTGGGGGTTTACAGCTAGCCTGCGACAGCGGCGACGTGGTGCTCAATGGTCATGTCACGGGTATTCTTCGTTCGCTCTCGAGAGGGCCGTCGGCACGTTGTATTGTAGTTTACAGCTAGGCTGCGATATCTGACCTAAACTCTTCGGTCTTCTGTAGTATAGTTTTAAGTATTCCATCCTTCACGCGGGTGACAGGTGTTCGATTTCCCGCTGGATAATCTCATTTTCACTATCTGCTCGAGTGTTTGGTAGCGTAGTTGGTAACTATTCTGGTTATCATGCGGGTGACCCGCGTTCTATTCCCCGCTAGGTGATATAATATATATTGTTTGCCCCTAACTGGGCGGCTGGCACGTTGTGATGTGGTTTATGGCTAGGCCTCGATATCTACGCCTTTTTCGTTTTTGGGGGTTTACAGCTAGCCTGTGACCGCGGCGACGTGATGCTCAATGGTCATGTCACGGGTATTCTTCGTTCGCCCTCGAGAGAGCCGTTGGCACGTTGTGTTGTGGTTTACAGCTAGGCTGCGATATCTGACCTAAACTCTTCAGTCTTCGGTAGTATAGTTTTAAGTATTCCATCCTTCACGCGGGTGACCGGTGTTCGATTCCCCACTAGGTGATAATTATTCTTTTTCCCTTAAAAGGGTGGTTGCCACGTTGTGTTGTGGGTTACAGCTAGGCTTCGATATCTGCGCCTTTCGCCTAGAGACATCCGATTTCATTTAAGTCAAAATTAGCGTCCCCGCGACGCTTCTCGATCAAAAACTATTCGGCGATGACAGAAACTGTTACCATACATCTTACTGTCCAGTTTCGTTTGGGTGGACACGGATGCCAATGTCAGTTAAAAATCGCTCCTTCGGAGAGGGAGAGATGACGGGTGCGGGGTGTTTTTCTCTGCTATTCGTGAGTATAGTGTACTTTTTACTGTGGGTTCCATCACTGGTTACGTGATGACGTTTTTTCCCCTATGTCGGGGGCAAAATTAAACTAAATAGTCCGTGGCGACAGCATGCGGCGCTAACTCCTCTTTTCTACACCAACCTTCACAGACTGTAGTGACAGTTGTTGTTGTTGTTGTTGTGATGGTGGTGGTGGTAATGGTTGCAGTAGTACTGGTACTGGATGGACGATATGGTAGCTGTTACACTAGCCACATTTACCTCTCAATACAAGTTAATTCTACCTATTTAAGTCTGGGTGGACACGGATGCCAAGCTCACATGGTGACTTTCCCATCCTTCGGAAAGGATGATATAATTAGGGGAAAGGGGGTTGGGGGGGGGGGATTATGCCAGACACAGCTGAGAGAGCTTAAAATATTATTTTACATTTCTAATTTCTTAACTATTTCTATTTTAATGATTTCGCCAGGTGATGATTTTTCAAATATTCAGAGAGGGAGATATGATTGGTGGTGGTGGTGGAGGAGAGGAGGGGGGATATGACAGACACTGTTAGATGAGAGCTATTTTCTTTCCTCTCCATTTCACCATTCTGGGCCACAGCAACGCGTGGCCGGGTACAGCTAGTTTCAAATATAGAGGTCACGGAAGTCAGCCCTCCCTTTTTTTTTTAAGGTGGCAATGGAGAGCGCGGGGGGGGGGGGGGGAGAGATAGGGAGGCTCAAGGTATTCAAACCACCCGGTTTTGGCACACCTGCTGTGAAGCCCTCTGCTAGTATATTATAGATCATTTTAACAAAGCACAGTAGCACAGCTATTCTTAGTTTTGTTTATGCGGTAACTTCTACTGAATCCTTTTCTATGTCATCACCAAGTGTGCATGCGTGCTATTTGTGTCTTTTGGACCTTTACCTGAAAACTTTGACTACTTCAGGTCAACAGATATAAGTCTGGATTTCAAATCAAAAAGATTAAAAGGTTTGACATCGTGAGGCTAAAGAATCTCAGTGTTGATAGCAGACAAACAGGATTAAAAAAGATTGATATAGTGAGTTTGAAGATTCTTAGTGTTGATAGCAGACCATCAGGATTCGAATGTTTCGCATCGTAAGGCTAAAGAATCACAATGTTACTGGCAGACCAACAGGATTAGAAGCTTTGACATCGTCAGTCTGAAGAATCTCAGTGTTGATGGCAGATCAACCGGATTAGAAGGTTTGACATCGTGAGGTTGACAATTCTGAGTTTTGATTTTGATGGCAGACCATCAGGATTAGAAGCTTTGACATCGTGAGGCTGAAGAATCTCAGTGTTGATGCAAACCAACAGGGCTAGGTCAAACATCTTGTTTAACCTCCAGAGAAGTTATAATCAGGGCACCTGTAACGGACAACCTAGTCCAATGTAACCGGCAATCCTGCGTGGGCAAGGATTTAAAGATGTCAACACACAGACAACACCATGAACTCCACAGACATTGTAAATATAACCATATACCGGGTAACACTTACAGCTAAGAAACAGACGCGATTCTCTTGTCCCATGGCACCTGTGGATTAGTACAGTCAATCTTATCCTAGAAGAGTGGTTGTTCAACCGATTAAAACGCTGGGTTATCATTTGCGAGATCCGGATTACATTATAGGTGTTTATACCTTACTTCTTTAACAGCATAAAGGTTCTGTGGTTATGCGGATTACATTATAGGTGTTTATACCTTACTACTTTAACAGCATAAAGGTTCTGTGGTTATGCACCAGGGAGAAAGGAATAGGGGCTTTTGCGCTGAAATGCTGTAGAAAGATTATCAGAATATCATGGTCAAAGAAGATGAGAAATACTGACGTTGTAAAAGATCTGAACATCAAAGAAGATTTGCTAACAAACAGTTAAACAGCATCTTGTCTCGGAAGCTGAAATTAGTGGTAGCATGCCCCAAAGGTTTGGGGTGAGGGTAGGGGTGGGGGAATTGATGGGGCGGGGGGCAGAAAGCATGGTATCAAGGAGGAGGGGCAGGGGCTGACCAGCAGGAAGATTAGCACACGTTATAAGTGACTTCTAAAGTATAAAAGTGCACAGGGCACGAGAGCTAGCAAGAGACCGAGTTTCTTTCATGCAAACCGTGATGAGAGCGACGTTCTGCAAAGGACCTGCTACATGATGATGATGTCTTATTATACATTGTAATATAAATCTTGTCCTCAAGTAGCAAATCGATATAATAATTTTTTTTTTTTTTTTTGATTGTCTAGTTCTTTGAAACCAGGTGATGCATCATCATTCTTCTTCTTCTTCTTCTTCTTCTTCTTCTTCTTCTTCTTCTTCTTCTTCTTCTTCTTCTTCTTCTTCTTCTTCTTCTTCTTCTTCTTCTTCTTCTTCGCGTTCACCATCTGTAAACTCTGGAGGAAGGTTCTGGTTGCTCGTCCACTACTGAACTGCTGTCCTGCTCCAGAACCTGAGTGTTGCGTGTGCATCAGTTTAACAGATCCCATTCTCTTGAATACAGACTGTTGGTTCCTTGCCTCTCCGGCAGATGCACTTCGACTTCAAAGGAAGTTCCCCAATTAGTCGACTCTTACGACATGCTTTTGGGGAGGCAGTGGGTCTATTCTTGTTTTCCCCACAATGGGTCCCCGGAACCCACACGGGGGATCATCATTATTAACTTCTACTGTTGTTGTTAATCATCGCTGGAAGTAAAACGTTCACACAGGCGCTAGACGTGGGAACTGGTCAGTTTTATTCCTTGTGGATGTGTAATATCCCTAATGTAATCGGTAAATATTAGCTTCTCTGGCTTAGGCGTTGCGAACTCGCATCGTAATGCTGGGGTGCAGGGTTCTATCCCTGCTGCGGACGGTCTGTATTGTGATGGTTTCGACCGTGGTACCGAGAGCCGACCGTCCAGTAAGCAATGAAAAATACTGGATGAAAATTTGCGTAGAAAAACCACAACAGCCAGAAAGTGCTTTGGTTGGTCTGCAACGTCTTGTAAGGGATACGCAACTATTAAAATTGGTAAGTATATCTTCTCCTTGGGCACTCTCTCGAACTCAAGTCAGATCTTTTATGGCACGTCACCTAAGCTATGTTGATAGTTTTTGTGGGTGCATTGAAACGAATGACCATACTATTTGATCTTCTGCTTGTCAATAAATTTGATGCAAGAATGTTCCCACAATCTGGTTGTATAATTTCTCAGTCAGTCTGGAATGGCTAAATTATCGGCTTTCCGTGCATATATCTCATTTCACATGTGTTAATTTCATATAGGCGAGCCCTTAAAATTTCTACCTTTGGCACTGGTAGCACCGTATCAATATGTATCATGAATGATAATAAATGCCAACATTTAATTCAAGCGCCCCAGAATATGCCTCCTTCATCTCCTTGTTTTAAATAGGTAGGTGTGGGGAAACAATCGGATAACTTTCTTACAAGTAAAAAATTTAGACAAAAGTTTCAATGGAATTTATGTAAAAACCGAAAAAAAAAACCAAATAGAATACACAATATTTGAAAGTTTTTATTTAAATGCACTGGCAAAAAAATGATAAACATTGTCAAAAGAAATATATACATGAAATGGGTTGAATTCCAGTAAAGTTGTGTGTGACCAAATAAAAAAAGAAACAAAATAATAAACAAAGACAAAAACAAAAAAAGGGGGAATATGTAATCTTCACATAATATTGATACGAAAAATGAATTAAATGGCATTACCTAGACAATTGTTCATTAGCAAACGAAAACGAGGAGGGGGGTTGGGGGGGGGGGGGGGGATAATGTTCATTTAACGATTTTTTTGCAGGCAGCCGTTAGTCCCTAGGGTAAACGACTGTGCCGCTGGTTTTGGGAACTGTCTGCCTTCAGTGGCAGTCTCTAGATTGAAAAAATTGTTAATCTGCTATACTCAACCTTTAGGCGTTTTGTATGCTTCGTCTCTATTTCTTGCTGCGTTAGACCTCATGTAAAGTTCGACAGTCCATCTTTTACTGTTTGCCTCCATAGGAGTCTGCTTGCAGCTGATCCCTCTCAATTGTTTGTGTAAATGTTGTCTATTTTTTTTTTTAAATATTATTATTACTGGTATCTTAATTACTGATTACATTGATAATAATAAACACCTACCTCACTAGAGGGCAAAAACGGAACACAACACGTAGAAAAAAAAGTTGGTAAAAGTAAAGTATTAATAATCATAATAAGGATAAAATACCCTTTTCACACACTGAAGTGTATGTGGTGCAGAAGTCATATTTTTATTGACCATTCAGCACTCCGTACATAAAGTGGTTAAAATGACACTGGCCGCCTGTACATCCCAGCTCATTTCCTTGTATATATATAACCTGGATGTAAGTTGGCTCCGTGGTCAACGTAAAATGTAAATTACTATGGGCATACAAAATTCTGGAAGATTGTGCCAACGAAATGATTGGAGACCTGTCTCTGCCAGCCCGAAGATCTTAGGTTTGAATCCGCATCAGGGCAGAGTTGTAAAATAATTGATCCTGTCTCACATAAAGGCCAACCTTACAATATGTATCAGTTAATGTCTTGTGGTCGGGGTCTGCAGCTTAGGCGTTGCAAACGCGCTTTGTAATGCCGGGGTGCGAGGTTCGATCCCAGCTGCGGACGATTCGCCTTGCGTTGGTTTCGTCAGTAGTACCGAGAGCTGACTGTTCAAAAACAGTAGCAAACTACTGAACGTAAAATTTGCCTTAAAAAACCACAACAGCCACAAAATGCTCCGGTTGCTTCTGCAACGTGCATATAAAGGATAAGCAACTAACTTTTTAATGTCTTGGGAATTGTCCGTTGTCGCAGGCCCTGAGGCAGACTAAGCAGACAACAGAGAGATAATATCAACACAGATCAAAGAACACTTGGTGACGCCAAATGAAAAGAGGAGGCCAGTCAGTAAGAAGAATGTAGGCGAGTAATATCTGCAGCAATGAGCCTCTAGGGCTCGGAATGCTGAAGAAGAAGAAAGTCCTGGGAAGTAAAGGCGACCGGTGTGGTGGCTGACAACATTACTAATAGAGGACCGAATTGTCTATTAACAAGGTGGCTGTTGCACCATATGACTAGTAACATGAAAATGGTCCTTTATTTTTGTTTTTAACAGTGCACAAAGGTAAAATAAAAAAGCTACAATAGCGTTCAAACCCTATAATTTGGTCTTTTTATTTGTGTGTATCCATGTGTGGCTACCATATACGGTTCCATTTCAGTTATTCATACATTTACAAGTTTGTGAATGAAATATATAGTCTAATTACCAGGGATATGTCAAAAGTGCTGCAAACAGAACTATTACAAACGAGGACACTTCTGTCAGACCTGCACCATTCCCTTCTCCATCATAGGTCATCGCATAAGCTCTTACCTGAGTCCCACTAGCACCAACATATTTGACTGGGGAACAATGGAATCTGAAACCTCTGGGTGGAAGTCTGTCTAAATCACGCAGATTCTCGATGATGATTCGATTATGCGGAAGTAACAACACGTGTATGGGAAACCCTGAGAATTTCTTGTTTATCTGGAAGGGGTCCAAAGTGATTGTATCCGAGCCATAAGCACGGACGTCACGTTCATCCAGCAGCCATTTTGCAGCCTCGAGTGTGACGTATGGATAGATATATGTTCTGGAGAGAGAGATAAAAACAGCCGGTGGAAAGAAATTAATTATATACTTCGTTAACAAGGAATGCATGTAAATATGAAAAAAAAAAAACATAGGGCGCTCGGTGGCGGAGTGTTTGTGCTGTTCGTCTCGCATTTTGAAGGTCTTGACTGGTTTCAGATTCATCCATTCACTTCGCAAGTGCATGTACTTCGTACATTTGTTAGGGTATTACTGGAGCTATGGATAAAGTCGCTTAATCTGTTTGAAACCACTTTAAAACACAATTTTTGGGAAGGGGGAGACTAGCTTCTATTGAGGGATTTCTTCTAGAATTAGTACCAGACTGATGTTTTTTTAAGGAAACTATCCATTTTCTCTCCAAGCCCAGCACACCCACATCACCCCTCCCCACCCCCACCCCACACACACACGCATGCACACAAGAAGAAAACAAAACAAGAATGGTGTGAAAAACGGCTACTGCCGAGTAGCCTAGTAGGATGTAACCATATCGTGATTTAAACAAAATGTGTGGACATACTACTGGACACGACCTTCTTTGTACCCGTGCAGCTTTCAGTTTAGGCAGAAATATATATATATATATATATATATATATATATATATATATATATATATATATATATATATATATATATATATATATATATATTGCTCGTTAGCAAGCATTCGTTACAAGTCACGAACAAGGGATTTGCTTAGATATGACTTCTTAGGCTGAACGGCGAAAATATCACAGTCTAATTGAAAATGTCTTGAGTGTCTAGTCCTTCGACGCAGCAGCCACTCCAAAGTACCTTTAATAATTGTTCCTATGAGGATTCGGTTTGTAATATCTCCTATCTCAGTCTCGAAGGCAGCATAGACGTGCTTCACGACGCTTTACTCCCGGATCACGCAATCGTGTCAGGGTCAAAGATTCGTCATCATCCACCAGCCCAGTCCTTACAGCATTGAAGATATCCGCTTTGTTCATGCCTCCTCCAGCATGTATTGGTGCTTTGATCGCCAATTGATCCTCTCGTTCAATGCCCCTTACGCCCGCATGACCAGATGTGTAGATCCAGATGACAGAGGTTAAGTGCGATACCTTCTATACATTTAGAGAGTATACCCACGTGTTGTGATTTTTTAAAGCATGTTCAAGAAGTGTAACACAATTACTGCATGTGTGGTTGTTTGTTCTGCTGCCCATGCTAGTGCTCTGTGGCTATCTCCATCGTCATACCCGACGTACTCGCCTGGTGGGCCCACTAGCCTCTTAAGATAAACTAAACAATTAATTGTTTGGACACCATTGTCGAAATCAACGATGCCATCTTTTTCTTATTCTCCCGGTTCTTCTTCCTTTCTCTACTCCTGGATGCCGCGGCTGGACAGGAAGAGATCGCTGGAATAGGCCCTTCTGTTCGCTTCGAATAAAGTAGTTTTCAGTGCATCTGATATTTCTGCTGTTCATATTCTGAGTGGTCGACCTGTGGCACTATTAGCGCTGTATCTGTATAACATTGCTCTCTGTGTTGCCCTGTCTGATGCCAGTCTTGTTACAAGGCCAAACCACTTATTTCATGTCTACCTATAAAGTTCAGTATTGGTTCTGTGCCGACACTCCTCTTAATGTTATCGTTCCTAAGTCGATCTTCCCTAGTTACAGCTAGCACAGTACGTAAACATTTTACTTCTGTCGTGACTATTTCCCTTCTGTCTTCTGAAGACAATCTCCATGGTTGACACTGATAGCGCAGCATTGATAAGAACATTGTGTTAAACAATGTTCTTCTAGTGTTTATATTCACTGCTGGAATCATTTCGAGATTATGAAACATGTTCGCAAACGCCTAAGCAACAGACGCAGATAAACACACACCAAATACACAAAATGTAAACAAACACACACCGAATACACATAAAGTAAACTCACTCAATATTGTTTAAGTCACTTGTTCCTCTGTAAGCTTTCTCGTTGTCGAACTTCTGGTACCAGCCAAAGTAGAACAACACGGCGGAATTCCTAGGGATTTCCCCGTTTACTTTCTCCCAGTCTTTGAGCTGTATTGCAATGATAAGAAAACTAAATCTATAAAAACACACTTGCTTTAGGGCTTTCAGTTTCATGGTCACTATCATCGTTATCTGAATCATAATTATCCTCCTCATCATTAGCATCATCATAATTAAATCACTGCCAATCTCTCTCTCTCTCTCTCTCTCTCTCTCTCTCTCTCTCTCTCTCTATATATATATATATATATATATATATATATATATATATATATATATATATATAAAGAATTCTTACATGATATATATATATATATATATATATATATATATATATTATATATATATATATATATATATATATATATATATATTTAAATCACGTAAGAATTGTGGGGTTTTTTCAACCTCCCACAGAAATAGGAATGCCACTATATATACTGTGTACATAGGCATTGACAGAAAAATTTGTAGTAAAGCACAAAGAACACAGTCTACGTACAGTGAAAAATAAATAGCATGTTTACCTACTTTCTATAAAACGACAGAAACACCTGTGACATTATAATAATTTTATTTAATTGAAATAAATAAATGTGGTAAAATACATACTAGCCAAACTCTCTTTAAACTGACAGAATATGTGTAACATTATATTGCCGCAACAGTGTGAAATTATATGTATGTTCTGTAAATTGGCAGTGTGAAATTATAGGTATTATAATACTTTCTATAAATTGACGAAACACCTGTATCATTGGGAGTCGCCGTGGCCGAGCGACTAGACGCTTGCCGCGTATCGGAAGGTCGTGGTTTCTCTCCCTGGCGGAGCCTGACTTTTTTGAAAAATGATCTTGGCTCCCAGGTCGACCCAGCCTAAAGTGGGTACCGGATGCAGTCTCGGGAAGTAAAGGCGGCCGGCGTGATGCTTACCATATCATCCATTGCCGATTTATCTATAAAAATATAGGTCTAGCCCTATATGCCCTATACGCCTAATGGCGTGGAAAAGGGTCCTTTATTTCACTTTACTTACCTGTGACATTATAATACTTTCTATAATTAAAGTAAGTAAGTATGTGAATATACATACTCACCAAACTCTATGTACATTGTCAGAGTATGTGTATTATTATACATTCTCTCTGTATATTGAGACAACAAGTGTTACATTTCAAACACATTTCTGTTCATTGATAAATGTGACATAATACACTCTTTCTGTACATGGACAAGTGTGACATAATACACACTTTCTGTACATGGACAAGTGTGACATAATACACACTTTCTGTACATTGACAAGTGTGACATAATACACACTCTCTGTACATTGACAAGTGTGACATAATATACACTCTCTGTAAACTGACAAGTGTGACATAATACACACTCTGTAAATTGACAAGTGTGACATTATGCATAATATCTGCACATTGACAAGTGTGACATTATACATACTCTCTGTATATTGACAAGTGTGACATTATACATACTCTCTGTAAACTGACAAGTGTGACATAATACACACTCTGTAAATTGACAAGTGTGACATTATGCATAATATCTGCACATTGACAAGTGTGACATTATACATACTCTCTGTATATTGACAAGTGTGACATTATACATACTCTCTGCACATTGACAAGTGTGACACTTTAAATACTATCTGCACATTGACAAGTGTGACATTATACATACTCTCTGCACCTTGACAAGTGTGACATTATACATACTCTCTGCACATTGACAAGTGTGACATTATACATACTCTCTGCACATTGACAAGTGGGACATTATACATACTTTGTGTACATTGACAAGTGTGACATTATACATACTCTCTGCACATTGACAAGTGTGACATTATACATACTCTCTGCACATTGACAAGTGTTACATTATACACACTCTCTGCACATTGACAAGTGTGACATTATACATACTATCTGCACATTGACAAGTGTGACACTACACATACTATCTGCACATTGACAAGTGTGACACTATACATACTATCTGCACATTGACAAGTGTGACACTATACATACTATCTGCACATTGACAAGTGTGACACTATACATACTCTCTGCACATTGACAAGTGTGACATTATACATACTCTCTGCACATTGACAAGTGTGACACTATACATATTCTCTGCACATTGACAAGTGTGACACTATACATACCCTCTGTACATTGACAAGTATGACACTATACATACTCTCTGCACATTGACGGCATATGCATTGTTGGCAGCGGCCTCCTTGCTGATGTCAATAACAACACCCTCAAGTATGGTATATTCAATTGGAATCTCGTCTAGTTTCATTCCACCTGAAATCATAGAGGCAGATGTTCTTCTGTTATGTCTGCTTTTAATGTGAGCAATTTAAAATAGTAAGCTAAGCTAAAATAGCAATACTAGCGGTAGCAAGAAAGATTTTCATGTTTCGTGACCAAGAAGATGAAAAAATATTAATATTATTCACTGTCTGTATATTAAGGGAGACTAGCGTCTAGACATATTTTTTATCAAGCGCTGTAATACTTCCACCTTAACTCGTTAAATGCCAGATGTTTTCATAGGATGTCAACGTGACGAAATAACCACGTACCCAGTATTGTCACGCTACTCACCACCAAGTGCCCATTACAGCAGTGCCGGCGGGAAAAATACATTGCCCAAAATAGGTGACGGTATTGCGTACAGCATTTAAATGGGGAAGGGGGAGGGGGAGGGGGTGAATACATCAATGGTAAAACAGCTGACGTTTTTTCTTTTTCTGAATCGCTCTAAACAGGAAGTTGTTATATTTTATTACGGTTTACAGCTGTTCTTCAATACCTGGCTATTGCGGTCTAAAATATTCGATTTCAGTAACCCTTAACTGGTGACCTTTTACGACATACTTGTTGAGAAAGAAACAGAGTGGGTAAATTCTTGTCGCTTCAACAACAAAAAAATGAGGGGTGGGTGGACCCGCGCGTAGACAACGATATTCAAAAATAAAAATTAACAATTGGCCCTTACCTTCAACAAAGTGACTGGGTGCGTCTATGTGGGTTCCACCATGTTCACTGCTCCCGTAATAGTTCATCTCAATGCTATAAGGTTGATAGAATAAGATAGATGTAGCTGACAGTATCACGTGAATCAAACGACAAATAAAGTTACAGGCAACAGTTATAGAATTAGAAAAAGAAGCAGAGTTTAGCGGACACATTCAATCAATGAGAGGCCCAGAGGCACATTAGGCAGAGACAAACTGTCGCCAATCCATTCGATCCTGGGCCATCCTCTTTATCTCCAGTTTTGTCCTTCGTGTGCTTTGAGTTCAGCCTCAAAGGTTCCCCTCCAAGCGCCTCTAGGCTTAGCTCTTCCTCGTTGTCCATGTGGTGTCCACTGCATTGCCTGTCTCAGCCGTCTCTCTTTATTCATTTTGAGGACATGCCTAATCCACCTCTATTTTCGTTTTTGGATTTCTAAATTACATTTTCTAAGTCTGTCACTTTTTGTAATCTAGAATTGCTTATTTTTACTTCCCATGTGAACCCCAACAATCTTCGGTCTTCCCTCAAAACCTCTGAGCATGCTCTCTATCTTTCTGCCTGTTTTCCAAGTCTCTGCTGCATAGAGGAGAACTGTCATAACGCATGTTTTGTACATCCTACGTTTTGTTTTAGTGCTGTAGATCTTTGATCTCCAAACACTTTGAAGTCTGTTGTAATCAGCGTTTTGACTTTGCAATTCTCTGCTTGATTTTAACCACTACATTTCCATTCGAGGAGATATTGCTGCCAAGGTAAATGGAGTCAGCTACTGTTTCTAAACCTACATTATCTATTACTATAGGTCTTTCACTTTTTGGGTTTATCTCCAGCAGTTTGGTTTTATCGACATTGATTCCTAACCCTGTATGTTTTGCTATTTGTGTGATCTTATCTGCCTTTTGTTGCCAGATGTTCTTTACTTTGGCTGATGACACAGAGTCTAAATGTTCCAGGTGTTCGAGAAGGTTGCACTGAAGGCCCTTCTATGTGACAGTGGCTGCTTTCTTCGCACCATAATCCATCACTATAAGAAACAAGAAAGGTGACAGAATGCACTATTGTCGGACTCTTGATATTACCCTAAAGTATTCTGTTTCCATGAGTCCTAATTTCATTTTGCCTTGGTATCCGTCACAGAGAAATATGTTTATAGCTTTATCTGGTAACGCATACGCAGCAAGTATCCTCCATCATCGTTCTATCTAGACTGTGAATGACCTTTCCAAAGTCAAAAAAGTCTATATATAATTTGGCATTCCATTCTGAAGCTTGTTCCACAATATCTATGAGAGTGGAAATATGATCACAGCAGTTTCTTTCTTTTCTGAATCCTGCCCGACCTTCCGACCAAACTCTATCGACGTTTCATTATGTTATAGCACTAATTTGATCTTTACCTGGTGCCTTCCCATTCTTTATACTGCTTATTGTTGTTTCTATCTCTTTAACGCTGACTGGCCCGATATTCATTTCTAGGAGTTGGCCACAGTTTTCTACTGTTTCCATTGGGAAATCTGAAGCTCGCCTATTTAGAAACTGGGTAAAATATTTTCCTCTCTGTCAACTTTTTTTTTCCCGGTGCGAAGATTTCTTTTGTTGTGTATCTCAGGTTTAATTTATTGGAGCTAAAATGTTTCCGACTAAGATCCTTTGTTATTTTATACAATTTTCTAATATCACCTGCCAGTGCTGCTTCTTTCACTTTGGCAGCTTTAAAACAAGCTTTATTCTAGGACAACGAAATGCAACCTGACAACGTTACGTTATGGTAGGGCAGACCTGGCCCTTAGCCATGTCAGGCAGCTGGTCTAAGAGAGAAAGAAGCTCCGACAGGCTGACCAACAGTATTCTGCTTTTCTGATACGACAGCTTCTGCGGTATGTGTTTGTCTAAACATACTGTTGTTATCTTTTCTTTGGATTTGCCTCCCTGAACCACAATAGACCACCATCATATGGAAAGAAGGAAAAGATAGCAAGCTATGCCCAACATCACAATTGAACGTGAACAGCATTTTATTATCTAAACGTTAAAATAGCGCCATAGGTTACATAAATTGCATTGCGTAATTTAGCTTCAAAAATCTTTTTTTTTTTTTTGTGCCTATTTCTAAAGCACTCTTCAATTAGTATAGTAATTCAGTAATTTCCTCAAACAAAACAAGATTAGAATTATAACGGAAGATTTGCTAAGTTGTATCGTTTGTATTCTGGAGGTTTAGACCTAAATGAAATAAGAATAATCACTATTATTTTAACTAATCACAAGCCTTAGTATAAATTGCCATTCTCTGCACCCTCCTAATTTCAAGTTACCCCGCAGTTGTCGAGTGTCCAGGTATAACTGCTATTAGATTGAAATGGCTTTAGTGATTTATGCCTGTTTGATTATCATTCTTGAGCTGTCAATTCTGTAGAATGCAGTCCTGGAGAGCACAGACTACCTACCCACACGCCATAGTGTATCCTTCTGTGCATTGGAATCGACGGAGTGAAAAATACAAGCAGACTTGCGCCTGGTAAACGTTAAGAATGCTGGCTGAAGGGGGCTGCATGGTCTCGATGCATAGTGTCCTCCTAGAGTGTTAGAGGTTCCGGGTTCAATCCCTGGTAGGGCAGGGATTTAATTTTTTTTCGGTCACGTGGACTTGAACTTCTAGTAACTCCCTTTGGGCTCTGGGTAGTTAAATCGGACGCCCATGTGCATTGTTGCGCACGTAAACAAATCCCTTGGCAGTTAGAAATCGAAAAGATTAGCCTAACAGCGCTGCCCAGGCAAAATTTAGAGTTAAGTGCCTACCAAAAATATTTCAGGATGCTTGCCGGTTCTACAGAGCTTATGCATTGTGCTGAGCTTCTTCGGACTTAGACTTGAGTTAGAAGAAAAACGGAGCACTTATGGGTTCCTACCCGTTTGCCATAATGTTGATCCGTTGTTTAAACCTCAAACCTCAAACCTGGCTGATTGTCAGACATTTCTATTATTGTTTCGTGGGGTATGATAAAACAGCCTAATTTGTTGAGAATAAATATCCTACAGCTTCATTTTTTAATGACACTAGTCGTTTGTTGGGATTTACTAGTCAATTTAAAAGATAGCTTTACCAATGTCATTTACTTTTTTAAAGATGGCTTTGTTTATTGATTTTGTTTAATTGTGTAGAATTTGTGTTCTGAGACTATTAGATTTGATAGGTTGTGTTTTATTTATTGCCGGTTAGCTAATTTATACCCTACTGTTCTTGGGGTATCTACAGTATCATAGCTTGCGGAGGCTATTTAGTCGATTCACAATATTTACATATGTATGTGTTGAGAATAATTTGTTGGTATTATGAAACGTTGCTACACTTGGGTGTCTTATTGTTCGTTGCCTAAATCACATCACCTTCTTCATTGAAATTTAATACGGTACTATAGAAAATATTGAACTTATGTATAGAACGACACTAAAGTTTTCCTCGACTAAAAGGCACAAGTGCGAAACATGGCCCTTCTTAATTCTGTCATCTTTAATTTTTCAGATAACTGGAATACATTTTAAACCCTAAAAATTGTCATCCACAAGAACGAGTGAAAATAAATGGTTTGAACTTGAAGCAAATGGAGACATAGCCCAAAGTAACTGAAAGTATTAAAATAAGTGAGGGATGATGTTGAAGCATTTAAAGCATGCCACACATACTTTTTTTATCAAACATTTTCCGAGGGTGATATGGTCAACATCATGCATGTCACCTTTACTTCCCAAGTAGTGTTTTTAGGGCGAAATGTTTTGGGGACAGAAGCACCAGAATATCTACAATTAATAAACAACACTTCCTTGGAGGACCTACAATCAACCATCCAAAAACACTTTCTAGAGGACCTACAATCAACCATCCAAAAACACTTCCTTGGAGGACCTACAATCAACCATCCAAAAACACTTTCTAGAGGACCTACAATTAACCAATCAAACAATACTTTGCTGGACGCAGTCAACCAACAATAGATTTATTTGTCAGCTATATAGAGGACAAAAAGAATGGAAAAATATTATTATTGAACAAACATTAAACAGATGAATAGTTGCAGAAATAAATGGTCTCACAGATAAGGGACAAACAAAAGCAAATAGCTCCATGTACACAAAGTTACAGAACATATAAACAGTGACAGACATTAGGACAGACAGACATTCAGACAGACAGACAGACATTCAGAGAGACAGACATTCAGAGAGACAGACATTCAGAGAGACAGACATTCACAGAGACAGAGAGACAGCCGACAGATAGATAGACCGACAGATAGACCGACAGATAGATAGACTAGATAGATAGATAGATAGATATATATAGATAGATAGATAGATAGATAGATAGATAGATAGATAGATAGATTAGATATAGATAGATAGATAGATAGATAGATAGATAGATAGATAGATAGATAGATAGATAGATAGATAGATAGATAGATAGATAGATAGATAGATAGATAGATAGATAGATAGATAGATAGATAGATAGATAGATAGATAGATAGATAGATAGATAGATAGATAGATAGATAGATAGATAGATAGATAGATAGATAGATAGATAGATAGAGATAGATAGATAGATAGATGAATAGATAGATAGATAGATCGATAGTAGATAGATAGATAGATAGATAGATAGATAGATAGATAGATAGATAGATAGATAGATAGATAGATAGATAGATAGATAGATAGATAGATAGATAGATAGATAGATAGATAGATAGATAGATAGATCTTTGAGCTTACTAAATGCCAAGAGCTGAGGTCCCTTTCTGCAGTGTTGTCAGGTTGTAACCCGGACTTCCATACAGTGACGTGAGCGTTTTTGGGCCATGTTTGTGGGATAAGTCGATGATCTTGCCTCCAGTACATGAAATCATCAGCGCAATGCTAAAAACATAGTGGAGATGGAAGGACATATTTTTCAGCACTGCCGCTTTCCTGTAATATAAACAGTATCATTTGACAAAGCGAAGATCACACCAATGCAAATAGAAACAAACTTTTCTCAACACTTTGTATTCTAATGTTCTTAGTTTTGCAGCCCCCCCCCCCCCCCCCCGCCCCACCTCTCCATTTGTTTCTTTCTTTAATTTTTTTTATTTATTATTTAAATAATGTATATATTTATTTCATTCTGTCTTTCTTTCTTTGTATTTTTTTTCGTTATTTATTTTTTTCTCTTTGTCTGTTTTTCTTTCTTTTTCTTCTCTTCCTTCTCCCTCCTCATCCAGCCCATCCTCCTTTTTGCACTTCTTCTTCTTCTTTTTCTTCTTCTTCTTCTTCTTCTTCTTCTTCTTCTTCTTCTTCTTCTTCTTCTTCTTCTTCTTCTTCTTCTTCTTCTTCTTCTTCTTCTTCTCTTCTTCTTCTTCTTCTTCTTCTTCTTCTTCTTCTTCTTCTTTCACTTCTTCTTTTCTTCCTTCTGCCTCTCTCTGTTTGTCTCTTTTTTCTTTCTCTCTTTCACTCTCTCTCGTCTTTCTTTTACTGTCTTCTTCTTTGTGCGCTTCTCCTCCTCTTCCTTCACCAAGTAATTTTCTATCATTCTCTTCTTCTCCCTCTGTTTGTCGTTTCTAAGCTGTTCCTTCTTCATACACCTTCAGGGGTCAAACTATAAACACACACACACAGACACACACACACACACACACACACACATACATACATACATACATACAGCAGCAGTCAATCTGATCTTTTTTTATATCACGGAGATTGTCTTCAAAGGTTTTATAGTGTTGGCTAAAATATTTTCTCCGGTTCTCTATATTTGGTAAATTCTTCATGCAAATGTTTTCCTACCATTGTGCCAGTACCACAGTTGCAACAATTAATACATGTATATTCCATTGTTATATGTATAAACTACAATGTATTGTGAACAGTCTGCAGATTACAACGGACACGAATAAAACATTAGGCGATGGGCTCAGAGGCACGAAAGTGGTTGTAGGGTGCCCCGATAAAATTGTTCAACAGGGATATGTGTGTGTGTAATTGTGTGTGTGTGTGTGTGTGCGTATATATATATATATATATATATATATATATATATATATATATATATATATATATATATGTTTTGTTGCAGGATGATGTTCGTTTGCATGTTGCAATAATCGTAAAGAAAGCGTTAGCATGGAATAAGTGGAGAATGTTGAAACACCAAGCGTATAACCTTAATTTGTCACCAGGTGATTTTCATTTGTTCGGACCTTTTAAAAAAAACCTTAAGCGATAATGGCAAAGTGAACAAAGTAACCACGTGTTTCAGGGAGCAACCGATTCTTTTTGCCGACGTCATTCACAGCCTGCCTAAGCAATGTGGTGCATGCCCGAATACCTAGGTTAGTTAGTTGCGTATTCTTTACAGGACGTTGCAGAACCGACCCCAACAGCCCCTGGTTGTTGTGTGGTTTTTCTAGGCAGATTGACGTCCAGTAGTTTGCCATTGCCTCTGGACGGTCGGCTTTCTTGATACCACTGTCGAAACCAACGCAAGGCGCATGGCCCGCAGCTATGATCGAACCCGGCATCCCGCATTACGAAGCGTTCGCATCAACTTAGCCACAGAGCCGACCCGAATACCTAAGGCAACTTATTTTTTGACAGCTTTACACTGTAGTCATCTGTACAATTTGTCGCCTCCCGCTGTTTCACTTAATCATATATCTAATGTACAATTTCCCTGCGTCTCTCATCATTTGTTTCTCGATTCCAAGCGACCTTTTTCTTGCCACGCTTTGAATTCTCCCATTGCCTAGGAGATCTGTTGGGCGCCACGTCCGCTGTACTCGGTGGAGTTTGTTAATACATATGTCTGACATGTGTCAGCCACCTGCCTAATTTCATTCCCCACCAGAGCTGTTTCTGCACATTCCTATATGGTTTGTAAATGTCCGGAGTTTATGCCCCTTCCCCATTTCATCCTCTTTATTTTTGGGAGGGCAGTAGAGCAGGGCTAATTAGCTGGCCGACAAAAGGCAAATCTGGCATGCGTAGGCTTAGAAAGTCGCCCACGGATTATTGCCAGATGTGTTGAAATTAACAATCTTTATCTATTAGGGCTGGGGCTTCTAGTCCGCGACGATACCCATTTTCAAAATGTTGGCCCCTGAATAAACTTAGTGGATTAGCCCAGCAGAAGGGGATCATGGTTAAATGGTTAAAACATTCCCTCCAGGTCCGAACTTTGGGTAAAGGTAAAGGTAAAGTCGGGAGATGCGAACCATAGTCATTACACACGGTTATAAACCTAAGTGCGCTGCCAGCACTACGAACAGCTAATAAGAAACACTGTCTGCCTGTGTGGCCGTTTGCACGAAACTTTGTAGCTACAGCGATGTTCCCATTTCCTAGAGACTGGGTGAACCCCGGGAACCGCCCAGTTTCGAACACCGGCCGTGGACTGCAGCGAGTCGCAGCTGGATTGGAAAGCGAGTCTCCTATGGTTTGCGCTAACGCGGATTTATTATGTATCTGTCAGGGACTGCTCTTACAGCTTTCGGACAATGGTACAAGAGTGACACCAGAGACGATATTGGAGTCTCATCAGCCAACCTTCAGTGCAGAGACAGTACACTTCTTCTTCACGTTTACCGTCTGCAAACTCCAGCGGAAAGTCTTAGTTGTTCTTCCACTTATAGACTTTATGAATTGTTCCAGGACTTGAGTTTTGTGTGCTGGTTCCTTACCCCTCACTCAAGTAGATTAACTCCGGTTAGTTGCGTATATTTTACAGGACGTTGCAGAACCAACCCCAACAGTCCCTGGCTGTTGTGTGGTTTTTCTAGGTAAATTTACGTCCAGTAGTTTGCCATTGCTTCCTGGACGGTCGGCTTTCTTGATACCACTGTCGAAACCAATGCAAGGCCATGGCCAGCAGCTGGGATCGAACCAGGCATCTCGATTAACTCCGACTTCAGAGAAACAGCCGATCTTTTCTATTTTGGCCAGGTTATCGGCTGAGAACCTGTTTCTGGGATACTGGCGGAGAGGTGTAGATAATTCTTAGTCCTAATCTTAGTTAAGGTTTCAACTTCATTGCAGTCAGGTCACACCAGAATTAAGCCTGGTCCTGGTACGTGGTTAAACACCTCTGCATTCCAGGACAGCACACAGTAATTGAAAACACCACATTCCTGGTAAAAACCTATTTGCAACTTGGCTATGAATAGTTACAACGCGGGTAGATTTATGAAAACTTTTGTGTAATAGATAGAATAGACAATGAGGTGAACTGATTGACGTTCCACCCCACCAGCACTGTACAACGAATGATAACACCCGGTGACACAAAGTGCCACTATTCACTCGGGATGAGAATCACACGGGTACAAGTCACAGTAACTCCGTTCACCCTCTCTGTTATATTAGGGCCCCTGACTTATAGATGGCGCGGGCCTTTAAAATAACAAAAATACTGCGTCCTATATTGGGCCGAGAATACGACTGATGAGGTGAATTGCTTTGACTCGGTAATTAATGAATATACATGAGAAGTAATTGTAGTGTCACAAACAAACACGTGTTACAGAATTCTATTCCGTTAAAAATCTTTACAGTTATCAAAGATCAAACTTCATTGCCCCTGAAATTACCTTACAGTGCTCGATCTCTCTCCCCTAGCCAGAAAGCCGCAGTACATATTTCTACCTACAACTACAAACCTCCAGGGATCTTCTAAACACCTGCACTTATTGACTGAAGTATAATGTTCTCAATCGAATCCACAATCATTAGATTGCGGAATATGTCTTGACCACTTTTCCCGTGGAGAAAAAGACCATGAACGATTTTAAGAAAAGTCCACAATTCGCTAAGATAATGTGACATGTACTTGGACATACAGCTATATTCAACCCTTTAAATTTATATTTTTGATCGTGATACTAGCGTTTTCTTTAAAAAATTTTTTATCTACACCGTACAGTGGCGCAGACCGACAAAATTCGATGGACCTAAGAGTGGGGCGGTAGGGGGCGGTTGATTCTCGGCTTCCTTTAAAATTTTCTAAGTGGGCCTCAGAGGAAATAACTCCATAATAATATAAGCGACAATAATGGTGATAATAGTATAATAACAATAACGCACCGAACGGTCAATAAATATTAAAGGGGATCAGAAATAATATAAAATTCTGAGAATCCTGAAATACTTTGAGTATATTTTTAACTCTGGATTTTACCTTGGCAACGCCGTTAGGCTACTTTTTCTGATTTCCTACTGCCATGATGGGCTTTTTTTACGTGCGCAACAATATACAGGGCGATAGAACACTATAGTTACGGTTTGTTAAGAGGCGGGAGGTGGCAGGGCGGAGGAAAAATTACTATTCCGCGAAATTGTATTGAGGTATTAAATATATTACATAACTTAAAGACCTTGCCTCTATTTCTACTAGTTCCAGGTATTGTATAGCCAAACAATTTTAAAACGACTCACCATAGAAAGAAAAAAAAATTGCATCAGTTTCAATGAAAAGATTCAAAACAAAATAATAATTATAACATCAACAGTAAAATGCACCACTCAAATAACTTTTCATAAAATGGACAAACGAATAACACGCTCAACTGATCCCTACCTCGATTAAACAGATTCAGGCTCGAGATGGCCTCAACAAGAAGCATGTGCAAGCAGTTACCAGCGTAGGCTGTCGGGCTGCCTGGAATCTGTAGACAGGACGTTGTCCTGCTGTGTTAAACCTGCTTGCAAGCTCGGCCTTGCTGCATCTTGCTAACGGCAGCTGTAAACACCGGTCCCGTGTGGAGAGATTCCAGATTATATCCTGCTAGCAGAATTTTGTTGTGTTTCTTTGGTTTACGAAAATGATATCCTATGCATATTACCGTAACATGGGAAGTGAATGGCACGCTTTTTTCTTCATCATTGTCATCTTCTTCTTTTTCATTGTCTTCTT